TGTATTGTGAAGTGCTATTTTGCTTGTATGTTTTGTCCTTTGTCAATGTGTAGGTCAGAAATATATAATGGATAAACCAAAACCAAAACACATGTTGGATACCTTAAGAGAACTATAGAGCATTCTAGGAATGATTCTATTTGAAGACTTCTTCTCTGACAAGTCGTACAAGTTGTGCAATCAATGTAAAACTCTGATAAAGCGCTGTACAACTGTAAAATAGAGCTGAGTATGATTTTGAAGCTAAAAAGACTATCAACCTAATCTAACAAGAGTCAACTTAACACTCAACGAGCATATTTTCAAGAAAGCTATAAATAGCTAGACGTATGAAGACAAGATAAGAAGGATAACAAAGTGAATACATTTTCTTGCTCTAATCTTTGTGCTTATAATTCATAAATCGTCTGAAGCTTTAAAGTGAAAAGAGAGTGAAACACCTTCAAGATTTACAGATTATATTGTAATTAAAAGTATCCTCTCATAGAGAGTTATCCATTTGTATCTTATTGTACATCCTGTTGTGGATCTGTAGTGACCAAAAGTTGTTTGAATACTTGTAAACCAAGAGTGATTAGAATACTTATAAACTAGAAGTGGTGAAACTAGACTAGAAAGCTTATCAGGAAGATACCAAAATTGTCTAGAGTACTAAGAGTGGTGAAAATACTCATTGTAAACTAGGAGTGGTGAGAATACTCACGGTAAACCAAATGTGGTAAGAATACTTGTCTAATCTTCAAAAGTATGAGTAGAATCTTTCAAGAGTTTTTGAGAGAGAATTGGACGTAGTGTTTTACAAATCTTTTCTTGAAAAGCTTCTCATAAAATCTAATTTTTGCACAACTCTTCTAAAAGATTTTCACAAATCATTTTTCTAGACACTGAATCAATAAACACATTTCTTCAAGCTCACTATACTGTTTTATTGATTATATCTTTTCGCAAGCTTTGCAAAGCAACAGTGTTTAGATAAATCCTAACGACCACCTTACTTCATAACATTTGTTAGACGCTACATTACGAAAAGATTTTGAAAACACTATTCAACACCCACCCTTTTCTAGTGTTTTCCTATGGTTTAAGTTGGTATCAAAGTTAACCTTTGGGTAAGTTCTTAACAGATCTAGGGGAAAGATCCAAATGGGAAATAAAGGATACGCAGTCAATCATCCCTCTTGTTCAAGGGTGAAAACTTTGATTACTGGAAACACTGCATGATTTCATTTTTTGAATCATGTCACATAAATATGTAGGACGTGGTGGAAAATGGAAATTACATTTCCCTTGACGAGATATCATGCAATTATATAACTTTAATGATGTATTTTTCTCTTTGTATTGCTATGATAAAATGATTTCTTTACCATAAGCTCTTATTTCATGAAATGGAATTTCAAATCGTTTTTGCTTTAATATACTCTCTTGAAAAGTCTTTTAGAAAAAGATAGCTAATTAGCATGATAGAATTGAATTTAGCTATACATATGCTCTGAACCAAATCTATCACGACTAGTATATTGATGCTTTTAATATCTATGATACCTATTTCATGTTAGCATGTGTATTTGTTAAATATTGAAAAGGGAGAGATTGTTAAGACAAGATCGCTTAAGCAAATGTTGTTTTAAAGTTTAACATAACATCTAAAACGAAATAGTGCTTAATCGTCTAGGAAATTTGTTAAAAGCAATAAACTCTATTCTTTAAAATACCTAAAAGATACAAAACGTCTAATAAAATAAAAATGTTTAACGTATAAATGATAAACACTAAACGCTATAGTGTTCATAGCAGAACATTTAATCGCTAAAGTGTTTAATAAAGAGTTAGACCATATAGAATACATATAACCTCGCTAAATGCTAGATATCCTAAACGCTTTAAAAGTTACTCAAAATAGACAAGCACTAAAAGATAGTACTTGTGTAATGCCTAAACGCTTAGGTCGTCTCACACTTTAATGCATGTACATTCAAGTACTCTTTTGTTTGTCGTGTTGTGTTCTCTTTTTCTATACAGATTACCAACTATATTCAAAAGCTTGCTTAGAATCAGAAGAACATTTAGAGACATAAAGGAATGATTTCTACATGCATGTCTCATCCGTACATAGCATAGTTGCTCTGCTAAGACGCAACATAGCTTCCGATTATACCATAAAGGCTACACACCTAGAAGAAAGTCAAAAAGCTCTAAATAACCAATATTTTTCTAAGAAATCTATATAAAGAGGATTGAATGAAGAGAAGAATAAGAACTTTTTCTATCAAGATTATTATACGTTCACTACTTTTCTCTAAGCTATTTCTTTTAAGACTCATCTTTGAAAAGATCTTTTTACAAGTTTTCAAAAGTTCATTTTATTAATTTCATATCCTTTATAAGAGAGTTATCTTCTATTTTGTAAGATTTCAAAAGTACTTTGTAGTTTTAGATTCATATGTGAACTCAAAAACTTGTAAAGTTTAACTCAGTGAAGTTAAACGTTTTAGATAGTTAGTCTAGAGTTGATACCAGGAATAATGAAACTCGTATGACTAGTTTGGTTAGTTTATAAACCAGTAGTGATTAAACTCGTTTTAAATAAAACCCCTTGAAGGTTTTTAAGGAAGAACTAGACGTAATTTAGTTGGAGTGAACCACTATAAAATCAAAGTGTGTTTTACTACCTTTGTGTCTAAAACAAGTTTTCCATTTAACGTTTTCTTTAAACCTAAGTGTTTAACTATTGTTACAAACCGTCTAACTCGTGCAAAATAATATTAAACACTATTTACGAAAAGTTTTAAAATACTATTCAAACTCCCTTACAATACTTTGTTATGTTTCGTTATCCTCAAACCAATTCCCCTTTCGCCCTACACTTATTGATTTTCTATTGTCCCATTACCATGATTCAAAATGACCTGTTATATCATAAAGTTTGAATTTAATCTTAGGTATCGAAATCAAAATATACTTATAAAGATGTGTAACCTTTTTTATTATCATTTCAAGCACATTTGCATTAGCAGAAACCTTCATCATTACGTAATCTTAAATGGTTATCACTAGTACAAAAATAGCGTACAACATCGAATATTTTGGGCCTTTCAAGTGGAATTCGAGAACGACGTCATATCGGGAGACGTTAAATTGACGTCGAATTTAAAAAATTTGACGTTAAATTTAATGTCGAATTTTATCAATAAACGACGTTAATCATTTTTTTATTTATTTTTTAATTAATTGTGATCCTTTTTTACAACTCTACGAGACCTGAAAAGCAAAAAAACAACAAATTTTAGTTTTTGGTATTTTGTAAAGCATGAGCTATGAACGTGTAATATATTATCAACAACGAACAAGTTCAATCAGACAACAAACAAGTTCAATCAAACAATAACAACAAACAAGTTCAATCAAACAACAACATACAAGTTCAACCAAACAACAACAACAAACAAGTTCAACCAAACAACAACAAACAAGTTCAACCAAACAACAACAACAAACAAGTTCAACCAAACAACAACAAACAAGTTCAACCAAACAACAACAACAAAGAAGTTCAACAAAAAATAACAACAAACAAGTTCAACAAATAAGTTATTCAAAACGAAAACGAAAACTAACCTTGGTTCATCGGAATAAAGTGTTGCCACAAGTAAGAGAGAAAACAGAATGCGCCTATGAAGGACAAGAACACGAAAATAATCGGTCAAAACAAACGAAAATCATACCTAAAGTAGTAAATTAACATGCATTTGTATCAAATGAAAGAAAGATTACATGTTATGGTTGTCAAACTTCGTTCGAGAAAAGATTGAGCAGAGAAGAGAGTCTCGCGCGCTAAGATAAAGTGAATGAATTTTAAATCTCTCGCTCAAAGTTTTATTGAATTCAATAACTTTTTGACATCTAACGCGGGGTCATTTGACATTTTATATTATTTTACATCGAATTACAATTCTAAACGACGTTTAATAATATTGTATTTATTTACAAAAATATTACCGGTCATTTTTAACGTTGGCTATTGAGTGATTGGACGTTGAATGCGTGACGTTATATGCTGTTTTTGTATTAGTGTATAATAATATAATGTAATGTTTAATAACAAATAATACTGTTTTACTTTAAATTCTTTCATTGTCACTTATTTTTTATTGAGTCCCGTTATCTCATAGTCTAAAAAAGAACCAAACTACATTAAACATCCTATCGTTTAGAGAGGTTGCAAAATAACAAATAGAAAATTTTCTCATAGTGAAAAAATTACCTGAAACACTCTGCTTTACTTGTAAACTCTTCAATATTATTTAAGCCAATTTCAACTAAGTTTGATGAAGTAGATGCCAAACATACTCATTTCGTTTCCTAAAACAAAAATATAGATATAGTCTTTTCATCCACAAGTACGATGAACACCAGAAGAAAATCACTAGATGCTGATGTTACATTTCCTTTTTCTTGCCAATCAATCTAGCTATTTTCAGTAAGCCACCAAGAATTCCTAGAATATCCATTCGATATAGACGGAAACCATAGACATAAACTTGTAAAGTTTATTGTTTGGTGAAAAGTTCTCCCTCTATGTAGTAGTAGTAGTATAATATTTTCCTCACATACTTTTCTTCATAGTTCCAGCACCACAACTGTTAATCCAACAAAACGAGGATTAGTCAAGCATATACAACAAGTATATAGGTAGGTTTACAATAATTCTTTTTGTAAATACTTACAAAAACTATAAAATTGCATAAATTCAGTTCGTAACAAGATATTTGCATTCCATTTAAATATTAATCAAATTTATAAAGTGAAAATTTACGAAAATGGTGATTTTTTGTTTGTTATTATAAGTAGATAAATTTTTAAAAAATTATACCACAATGGATGAGTTGTTTTTGCTAACACGACTTTTGATAAAAAAAAAAAAGTCAAAGTCGTTTCTCTTCACACAAGTTATAGATTTTCGTAATCTTTTAAAAATCTACAATAAACCTACTTATGTATCATAATTTAGTGATAATTGGGACATGATATTTCCAACAAAGTTTATTATAAACTTGTATTCTCTTAGAAGGTGCTGAAAAAAGATTGGTAAAGTAAAAACAAGTTGGCTTACATTCAGAATCTGTGGTGATCCAGTTTTCTTTTCTGCAAGTGTTATTGCGAGGGATGTAAATTTGTGAATTTGAAATGTTGGTTTGAACATTCTGAGACAAAGTAGCTAGTGAGAGAACAGATGAAATATCCACATCCCACGTGAAACTGATCTTTGGTGATTCACAGCTTCCTCGATCTTCTTCTGCAAATGCTCCTACGTTTCCTTCTCTTCTATACTGTAAAACCTGCTATGAAAATTTCATGATGTCCACAGTTAAGTCACTCGATCATAGTAAATTCAACTGAGAAACTACACAATTGAAGTTGTTATAATCAAATTCTTAATCATGGTTTAAAAATTTCACTTCACAACCACAATTTGGATGGAAATATTGTAATGTAAAGATTTCTCAAAAGCATATATTATATCCCAAATTATATATATATACTTACAACTCTTCTTAAAATAACCAATTATTCAGTCACTAACATATATTTATGATATAATGAATGACCTTAATACACCCTTACATTGAGGTATAGATATCATCAAGTGTGAGACTAGACATTAACCCTTCACACTGAGATATAAATATCATCGAACGTGAGACTAGACATTAATAGATGATCTGATAACGGCCCGATAGTGGGTGAAAGAACATGTCCAACAAACAATAAATAGCTATAATAGACTCCAACCATAGCTCTGATACCATGTAAAAAAAAGTAGACTTTAAGCCTAACTCAACTACACAAAACCGGCTTGTAAGAAAAGTTTGCATTTACTTATATATATTATAAATTGACCTTATATAGTAGACGTGGTACTTTCAAAACTTTCAAATATACTGGTATAATTTACATTCATAGACAATTACTTTCACTGTCGTGTGAAAATAACGATGAAACTATAATAATGACTTCAACAAGTTTATTTCTTTAATGAGTTGAGAGTGAAAGGGCTCTAAATTTTACCTTATGTTCATAGAATTCTTCTATTTTGTCTTCTTTTGTTGAAGCAACTCTTCTGAGTAGCTCTTTCATTCTTGAAATGGGCTTCTTTCTCCCATTACCTTCAGTTGGATCCTTTGCTTCAGCATTGAAACAATAATTTTCAATTGTTTTAGTTGTTTTCGAGAATGATTCATCTGATATAGGCAAAACCTTGTTTCCTACATGAATAGCAAAATCTTCTTCTCTCTTCATATTCAGGATGAAACTCCTTCTTCTGTTCAAGTTTCTTTTTCTGTGTATGTAGGTGTTTCTGTAAAAACAAGCCTTTGGAATGTCTTTTCCACAGATAAAAATAAACAGCTTCAAGTTCTTGCTCCGAAGCTTTCTACCTTCGATTCCCTTTGCTCCTCTAAGTGTAATCATATTTTTTCCTTTACCCTTTTTATCTGAAAACCAAAAATATCAGNCTAGTACAAAAATAGCGTACAACATCGAATATTTTGGGCCTTTCATGTGGAATTCGAGAACGACGTCATATCGGGAGACGTTAAATTGACGTCGAATTTAAAAAATTTGACGTTAAATTTAATGTCGAATTTTATCAATAAACGACGTTAATCATTTTTTTATTTATTTTTTAATTAATTGTGATCCTTTTTTACAACTCTACGAGACCTGAAAAGCAAAAAAACAACAAATTTTAGTTTTTGGTATTTTGTAAAGCATGAGCTATGAACGTGTAATATATTATCAACAACGAACAAGTTCAATCAGACAACAAACAAGTTCAATCAAACAATAACAACAAACAAGTTCAATCAAACAACAACATACAAGTTCAACCAAACAACAACAACAAACAAGTTCAACCAAACAACAACAAACAAGTTCAACCAAACAACAACAACAAAGAAGTTCAACAAAAAATAACAACAAACAAGTTCAACAAATAAGTTATTCAAAACGAAAACGAAAACTAACCTTGGTTCATCGGAATAAAGTGTTGCCACAAGTAAGAGAGAAAACAGAATGCGCCTATGAAGGACAAGAACACGAAAATAATCGGTCAAAACAAACGAAAATCATACCTAAAGTAGTAAATTAACATGCATTTGTATCAAATGAAAGAAAGATTACATGTTATGGTTGTCAAACTTCGTTCGAGAAAAGATTGAGCAGAGAAGAGAGTCTCGCGCGCTAAGATAAAGTGAATGAATTTTAAATCTCTCGCTCAAAGTTTTATTGAATTCAATAACTTTTTGACATCTAACGCGGGGTCATTTGACATTTTATATTATTTTACATCGAATTACAATTCTAAACGACGTTTAATAATATTGTATTTATTTACAAAAATATTACCGGTCATTTTTAACGTTGGCTATTGAGTGATTGGACGTTGAATGCGTGACGTTATATGCTGTTTTTGTATTAGTGTATAATAATATAATGTAATGTTTAATAACAAATAATACTGTTTTACTTTAAATTCTTTCATTGTCACTTATTTTTTATTGAGTCCCGTTATCTCATAGTCTAAAAAAGAACCAAACTACATTAAACATCCTATCGTTTAGAGAGGTTGCAAAATAACAAATAGAAAATTTTCTCATAGTGAAAAAATTACCTGAAACACTCTGCTTTACTTGTAAACTCTTCAATATTATTTAAGCCAATTTCAACTAAGTTTGATGAAGTAGATGCCAAACATACTCATTTCGTTTCCTAAAACAAAAATATAGATATAGTCTTTTCATCCACAAGTACGATGAACACCAGAAGAAAATCACTAGATGCTGATGTTACATTTCCTTTTTCTTGCCAATCAATCTAGCTATTTTCAGTAAGCCACCAAGAATTCCTAGAATATCCATTCGATATAGACGGAAACCATAGACATAAACTTGTAAAGTTTATTGTTTGGTGAAAAGTTCTCCCTCTATGTAGTAGTAGTAGTATAATATTTTCCTCACATACTTTTCTTCATAGTTCCAGCACCACAACTGTTAATCCAACAAAACGAGGATTAGTCAAGCATATACAACAAGTATATAGGTAGGTTTACAATAATTCTTTTTGTAAATACTTACAAAAACTATAAAATTGCATAAATTCAGTTCGTAACAAGATATTTGCATTCCATTTAAATATTAATCAAATTTATAAAGTGAAAATTTACGAAAATGGTGATTTTTTGTTTGTTATTATAAGTAGATAAATTTTTAAAAAATTATACCACAATGGATGAGTTGTTTTTGCTAACACGACTTTTGATAAAAAAAAAAAAGTCAAAGTCGTTTCTCTTCACACAAGTTATAGATTTTCGTAATCTTTTAAAAATCTACAATAAACCTACTTATGTATCATAATTTAGTGATAATTGGGACATGATATTTCCAACAAAGTTTATTATAAACTTGTATTCTCTTAGAAGGTGCTGAAAAAAGATTGGTAAAGTAAAAACAAGTTGGCTTACATTCAGAATCTGTGGTGATCCAGTTTTCTTTTCTGCAAGTGTTATTGCGAGGGATGTAAATTTGTGAATTTGAAATGTTGGTTTGAACATTCTGAGACAAAGTAGCTAGTGAGAGAACAGATGAAATATCCACATCCCACGTGAAACTGATCTTTGGTGATTCACAGCTTCCTCGATCTTCTTCTGCAAATGCTCCTACGTTTCCTTCTCTTCTATACTGTAAAACCTGCTATGAAAATTTCATGATGTCCACTGTTAAGTCACTCGATCATAGTAAATTCAACTGAGAAACTACACAATTGAAGTTGTTATAATCAAATTCTTAATCATGGTTTAAAAATTTCACTTCACAACCACAATTTGGATGGAAATATTGTAATGTAAAGATTTCTCAAAAGCATATATTATATCCCAAATTATATATATATACTTACAACTCTTCTTAAAATAACCAATTATTCAGTCACTAACATATATTTATGATATAATGAATGACCTTAATACACCCTTACATTGAGGTATAGATATCATCAAGTGTGAGACTAGACATTAACCCTTCACACTGAGATATAAATATCATCGAACGTGAGACTAGACATTAATAGATGATCTGATAACGGCCCGATAGTGGGTGAAAGAACATGTCCAACAAACAATAAATAGCTATAATAGACTCCAACCATAGCTCTGATACCATGTAAAAAAAAGTAGACTTTAAGCCTAACTCAACTACACAAAACCGGCTTGTAAGAAAAGTTTGCATTTACTTATATATATTATAAATTGACCTTATATAGTAGACGTGGTACTTTCAAAACTTTCAAATATACTGGTATAATTTACATTCATAGACAATTACTTTCACTGTCGTGTGAAAATAACGATGAAACTATAATAATGACTTCAACAAGTTTATTTCTTTAATGAGTTGAGAGTGAAAGGGCTCTAAATTTTACCTTATGTTCATAGAATTCTTCTATTTTGTCTTCTTTTGTTGAAGCAACTCTTCTGAGTAGCTCTTTCATTCTTGAAATGGGCTTCTTTCTCCCATTACCTTCAGTTGGATCCTTTGCTTCAGCATTGAAACAATAATTTTCAATTGTTTTAGTTGTTTTCGAGAATGATTCATCTGATATAGGCAAAACCTTGTTTCCTACATGAATAGCAAAATCTTCTTCTCTCTTCATATTCAGGATGAAACTCCTTCTTCTGTTCAAGTTTCTTTTTCTGTGTATGTAGGTGTTTCTGTAAAAACAAGCCTTTGGAATGTCTTTTCCACAGATAAAAATAAACAGCTTCAAGTTCTTGCTCCGAAGCTTTCTACCTTCGATTCCCTTTGCTCCTCTAAGTGTAATCATATTTTTTCCTTTACCCTTTTTATCTGAAAACCAAAAATATCAGTAAAAACACTCATTACTTACTGATACAACTTTTTCATACTATTTTTCATACCCTTTTTAGTCCTTAAGGAGAAATTAAAACTATATCACTTTTAACAAAATTAAGAATTCAAAACATATAGTTTTTTTTATAAGAGATTACAACTGATATCTCACCCATAAACGAAAGTTATAAGAATGGCTGTTACCTCTTATCATTGTTTTCCAGTTGCTGCTCCTCCCTATTTGATGATCATTTTGCCCTTTAGAGACCCATTGAAGAATCTGTTAAAGAACATATAAGCTTTATTCAAGTAAAAAATTTCCACCATATGATAAATATACCAATACACAACAAAGCATATACCTGCATTGTTAAGAGCATATAATACTTTGCCACTATATATGTTGTGTTCTTTGAGGGTGAGACAAAAATTAAATTGAAGTTGCAATGATTTGAAGGAATGTTTGGTGATGATTTTGATTCACACATGAACCCTTTATATATATATAGTTATATATTGCATGATCGAGTGGTGTGTGTAAAGGGAAAAGGACTAGATTTAATAAGAATGTTTCAGCTTATGTGGAGCGGTTCATAGCCATACACTTGTATGTTGGTGATGCGGAGAACCCAACTAACATGAATTGAAGACACATAAATATAGTATTTGTTCTTTTTGTGAGAAAGAAAAATTAAATACACTAGTTTCGTGACAGTATAATTTGATTCCTGCAAAATTTTAATTTCAGATTTCATTATCTATTTTTGAGGATTATGTAATTTTTATCTATTCTTTGTTTAGAATTTAATTGTTGCCAAAAAAATACGAATGTATTAATCTAAATGATATTTATTAAAGTTCATTGTGAAACTAAGAACATTGTATGGTTATAACTCTTTATTAAGAATTAGTTGTTCCAAATTATCATATTTATATTCCAATGATTTAAGATTTTAGTTATAACATTGTATGGTTATAACTCTTTATTTATGTATAAAATGTTATAGGTGATAATTGAATATGTTTGAATAACTTAAGTTTATATTGATGAACTAAGAACAGATTTTTTTGTTTAATATTTTTTTAATTTATTTTTTATTAAGACATTGAATTTATATTTAAATAAAGTACGAGTGCCAAGTTTGGGTAAAAGTTTATAAGTATTCAACAAATATGGAATATGAAAGGGTATGGATGTTTTATTATTATTGTGATATAAAAACTAATTGTCACTCTCATTTGTTTTCACTTAATTTACTTTTGATCTATAAAAAAAATGGAATGGGTTGGATTCACTCCTATGTTAAAATGGATTGAAAAACTTAATTTGTAAATATTAATAATTGAAGTTATAATATTATTGCATGATTGCATTCTTAAAATAATATAATATAGAATAATTAATTTTTTAATATTTTATTCTAAATAAAAACAAAAACAAGTAAATTCTCTCCCTCTTCTACTTTTAATTCAGTTTGACGGACTAAGAAAAATGAGTAAAAATATATTGATGAGTTATCCAAGTAAATTTTAATATATTGATAGACTAATTTATAAATCATAAATCATTTTGTCACCTATTAGTTATGCTTATTGTTATCCTATATATAAAGATGATAATCAAAATATATAAAGATTATAATCAAATTAAGGATGTAAGCTAAACACGAGAATATACTTTATTATTAATTATATTTTAGTATTTATCAAGTTACTTACCTTCTTCTAGTTTAATTTAGAATGAATTATTAATTAATATGCATAGTATTAATTGTCAACGTACATACACAGCCTTTTCCTCATCCATCCAGATATCATGAGAATGTATTAACATAGATGCGGTAAATTGGTACCTTCAAATGCTCTCTTTTTTTATCTTTATATTTAATAAATATTCTAATTTTGTTCTCATATTTATTATAGTATTGGCATATTAATATCTGAGTGGAACATTTAATATTGTTAATTAAAAAATAACAAAATTAGTATTAACATTATGGAATACTCTAACATATTCTATGCAGAAAGTGTCTACTATAATGATTTAGAAAAAACAGATAGAACCTTCAAATGAAACAAGTAAAAGATAAACCAAAAAAGAAGAAGAAAGAACCACACATGGTTTAATTGAAGTAATGAACTTTAAATTACGACTACCTCCGAAGGTCGATGAAGGTAGCATATTTGTTCACTGTTAAAATAAATTAAAATCTGTAACTCAGTCTAATTTATCACAAGTTCGGACACAGTTAAAAAAATTTAAAATTTTGATACGAATAAATTTTAACTTGATTCACTACAAATTTGATTTATCCAAATTGAACTCGTGAGTTAAAATGACTCACGAATTCATCTATTTTTTTAATAAAATAAAATTAATTAATTATTTAATAAAATAAAAAACATTGCAAAAAGATTAATAACTTTATACAAAATTTTTTTTTATTTTAATTGGTCCGATTATTATTATTTCAATTTTCAACCAAAGTAATCTATTATAAAATTAATAAAAAAAAGTTAAATAAACTAATAAATTAACCTATTTAACTCTATAATAAATAAATTGAAGGTAAATTAATCAGTTAACCCTTTTAAATCTTTAATAAATAAATCGAAGGTAAACTAATAAGTCAATTATTTAATTCTCGAATAAATAAATCGGATTGAATTGTTTACTGGATAAAGAATCCAGAGTCTGATTATTAACCCATTTTAATAGCAGTGTACGTATCATACGTTTAAATTTGTTGAGAATTCGTGTGAGCGTGCCTGAAAATTGGCGTGAGAGTGCAGGTTAAATTATAACTGTGACTGATAGGTTAATTGAAAGTTTGATTGAAATCGCGGTTGATAGCGAAATTGTTTGATTTAAATGTCTTCTTTACTTTATTAATATCTAAGGGTTCAGGTTTTCTTTAATTTATTAAAGAGTTTTTTATTTTATTTTATTTAGTATTCTTATCTTTAATATTAACAACCCATCATAAAAATAAATTTGAATATATTCTTTAGTTTATTAACTATTGTTCAGTTTTTCTTTAAAATATATTTTAATAATAATTACAATAAATAAAAATAATTTCAAGTAAGATATAAGTTGAATTTTAAAATATTAATAATAAAGTATTATAACATTTTAAAAGATATATACTATAAAATTAAATATTTATATATATAACAAGAATTCAAAAACATTTTAACAATTCAAAAGAGCATGTCAGCATAAAAAGCAACCGTTATTCATATAATTTCAAAGTAAATGAAAATTTTAAAATAAAAATATAGTTTTTTTAAGTATATATTTTCTTGTTTAGATTAACAGAATATAATATATTCATATAATTTTCTTGTTCCTCTATCCAGAGTTCTTTTTGTCATAATATTTCTGCTCAAGTTGAACCTTTTTCTTTTAAAGAGGCTGGCCAATTTGAATGTTGGCAACAGGTTATGAATTCTGCACTTGCTGCTCTTGAAAGAAATCAAACATGGACTTTGGTGAATCTCTCTGCTGGTAATAAACCCATCAGTTGTCGTTGGGTATATCGTATCAAGCATAAAGCAGATGGTTCTATTGACAGATATAAAGCTCGTTTAGTGGCAAGAGGTTTCATTCAAACTAAAGGATTGGATTACTATGAAACTTTTTTCCCTGTTGTTAAAATCACCACGGTTTACCTTGTTCTTGCTCTTACTGCTATCAACAAATGGTTTCTTTGTCAATTGGATGTTGACAATGCTTTTCTTCATGGTGATTTATCTGAAGAAATATACATGAAGCCTCCTCCTGGTCTCTGTTCACCTACTCCTAATCTCGTTTGCAAGCTTCAAAAGTCTTTTTATGATTTAAAACAAGCTAGTAGAAATTGGAATCATAAACTCACATCTGAATTGCTTTCTATTGGGTATACACAAAGCTCTGCCGACCACTCTCTATTTATCAAACATTCTCCCTCTGCTATCACTCTTATTCTGGTATATGTTGATGATATCCTTCTTTCTGGAAATAATTTGTCTGAAATCACCACTGTCAAAGATAATCTCCATAGCAAGTTTCACATTAAAAATCTTGGAGATCTCAAATATTTTCTAGGATTCGAGATCTCAAACTGGGATAGGTATCAATCAAAGAAAATATTGTCTTGAGTTGATTTTTGAAGCTGGTATGTTAGCATGTAAACCTGCTCCCACCCCTGCTGATCCTTCTATCAAACTTCATGCTGATGAAGGCATCCTTCTCACAAATCCTTCTTCTTACCGGCGTCTTATTGGACGACTTCTCTATCTCATTAATACACGGCCCGAGATTGCTTTTGTCATCCAACAACTTAGCCAGTTTGTCTCCACTCCTCGTCAACCTCATATGCAACAAGCCATGAGGATCATTAGATACTTAAAGAATGCTCCTGGTTCTGGTCTATTATATGCTGCTAATAACTCCTTCCGCATTCATGCATACTCTGATTCTGATTGGGCTACTTGTGCTACCACTAGAAGATCCATTTCTGGTTTTTGCGTCTTTCTTGGAACTGCTCTTATCTCCTGGAAATCAAAGAAACAAACCATTGTTTCCAAATCTTCTTCTGAAGCCGAATACAAGTCTTTAGCTTCCCTAACTTATGAATTACAATGGCTGAAATATCTTTTGAAAGATTTGCATATATCGTGCCCGACTCCTTATTCAGTCTATTGTGACAATAATTCTGCTATCCACATTGCCAAGAATCCCACCTTTCATGAAAGGACCAAGCATATTGATATAGACTGCCACGTTACTAGAAAAAAGCTTCAAGATGGTCTCATCAACTTCTTCATGTTTCTTCTACTAATCAAGTACAGATGTTTTCACCAAAATTTTTCTCTTTATCCTTCTTCCTTTTAATACTATTACTTCCGAGCTAAACATGCATAACATCCATGTTCATCTTGAGGGAGGATGATAGAGATCATCACAGATCTCTTCTTCTGCAGTTTACCGAACGACTTCAGGTTCTTATCGAACGGCTGTATACAACAGGATCTTGCCGAGCGACACTGAACGTTTGCTTACTACCGAACAACTGAACTCTCGGAAGTCGTTCGGTCATCGTGCTTTTGTTTTTAGTTTTGTTTGTTCTGCCTTTTTCTTTCTCTCTCATCTTCTTTGTATAATATTTACTTCATTTGTACTTTAAAAAACTGACTTACTGTAATTCATTCACTTTGTTCTTTCGGAATTCCTCGTTTTTCTCTCTTTTCTCTAAACACTCACATTATTTACTTCTAAGCAAATGTAATATTTTATTTATGACTAGGTGAGTAAAAACCATATCAACACCAATATCAAATTCTTCTAATTTTAATTCAATAATTCCAAATTTGTTAAGCAAGTTTATTTTATTCTTTATGGGTATATGTCATTTTATTAGACAAAGGAATATAAATATTTTTTGAATATTTTTAGGTGTGTTAGTGCAGGAT